CAGTGGGTGACCGGAAGGTCGCCCACGCAGGCAACTTCGCTGTCAGCCGACTTCTTCAACCCCTGTGGTGACGACATCCGTGGCACCACGGACTTTGCTGAGGTTCAAAGGAGACGTCTTGCTGCGCAGCAAGCTTTCCTCAAGGCGGACACCGACTTCCGGCTCCGGCGCGCCATGAGCAAGACGTTTCGTGAGCAAGCTGAACTTCCTGGAGTTGGACAACGGTGCTACTACTGGCGTGTTCAGGGCCTGCCTACCTTGCAAAAGAACAAGTGGCGTGGACCGGCAAGGGTCGTTGTCACGAGGCCAACGACGAGAAGAAAGTTGTGGTGGTCTGGGTTGCTCACGGCACCAACTTGCTGCGTTGTGCTCCTCACCAAGTTCGACCCGTGGTGGAGGAGACTGGCTACGCCACTGTTGCAGACCCTGCGGCGGCCATGGAAGCCTTGCGTGACCTTCGTGCCCGGAGCACTACACAGTTCCGCGATGTCCTGGAGCCTGAGCCGGCGATGCAGGATGTCTTGGACGAGGCCCGCGACTACGATGATGTTTCCATGGACTACGAGCCCTCGGAGCATGCCCCGCAGCACGACAGCGATGCCGATGATGAAGGTGGTCTACAACCTGTACCTCCACCTCAGTCACAGGCGGCTTTTCTCTACCAGCAGGCCGTCGCCGACACTCGAGAACCTCCTCGCCGGCGTCAACTGAGCGCAGCTGAACCTGATCCTGAAGGTGCCCCGCCCACACCGGCCCTTGCACTGTCCCAGCCCAAGCGACTTCGACCTACTACTACCAGCGCTTGCGCCTTCGTGCCCGCTTCTGGAAGTCTTCGACCTAGCGGCTCCTCCACTTCTCTTCTCCCTCCTGGAGTCGAGCCTGCCAGGCCCGAAGTGAGGCCTGAAAGCATTCCAGTTCCGGATGAGGAGGGCGAGCTGCGGTGGAGGACGTCTTCATCGTGGATGGTGGCGCCAATGACCTTCCAGGTGGATGGGCGGTCATGGATGGCGACCTGGTCCTGGACGAAGTTTGGCTGACGCGAGAGGTCACTGAGAAGAAGCTCTCCGTTAGCCAACGGCTCGAGATGATCAACGCGAAGAAGGCTGAACTCCAGAGCTACTTTGCCAACAAGGTCTGGGAGTTCGAAGACCCAAAGCCTGGCGACAGCATGCGCACGATTTCGGCAAGGTGGGTCCTTACGTTCAAAGAAGACCCACCGGGGTCCACGCCTCGGGCCAAGGCACGCCTCGTGCTGAGAGGCTTCCAGGACCCCGATATGGGGTCCATAGAGACTTCCTCTCCGACGGCCGCGAGGCAGGCCAAGTTTTTTCTTCTCGCGCTTTCTCCAGTGATGAGTTGGACCTTGTATGCCAGCGACGTCAAGACGGCTTTCCTCTC